CCGGGAGGTGTTCCCGGCGGGAAAGCTCCGACGATCAAGTCAGTATGATTTCAAAGCGAGTTTTAGAAAGTACGTAAAAGTATGTGAAAAAATGTATATTATCTGTGTGGAAAAACGCAATATCATTCCCTATTTATAAATGAGGAAACCTTGGCCTCCAAGGTTTCCTTTTTAGGGTTTTTCCCCCCTCAAGCCATTGTGTGTATTGGGCCTTTTACAACCCTGGGCTCGATTTACCACGAGCCGATACTGGGCCTGCGAGCCGAAGTTCCGCAGTTCGTCGTTGAGGTCGTACGACCTAATGGTCTTTTTATATCATTGGGCTGAATTGCCATGGGCCTTTTGTCGTGGGCCTAATTCGTATTGGACCTTTCCAGAATGGCCCGTATCAATATCGTCTACCTTTTCCTCCACCATTTCCCTATCTGCAACAATAATCGGCTTCCTGTATACCTTTCTCCTGAAAATATTCAAAAAAGGATTCAAACTCTTCAAATTAATCCAAATACCTTTTGCTGCATTTTTTGGTCTCTCTCTCTCTCATCCCCTAACCCTAAATCCCGCCAAAACATTCAGGAGAGACGGAGACGAAGATGATGGTGGTACCAATTGGTGCGGAAATCGGAATTCGCAGTTCGAACTTCAAATAATAAGCTATTTAATTTTGGGTCTTCTTATATTTCATGTTTGGGCTTAAATCGTACATGTAATTGTCGATCTTCTTCCGTGTAGGAGGAAAATTACGCTCATCCCTGAGGTTAAATTACGAAAAAAATTCTCATGTTTGTGTAATTACAACTACCCATTAACTATAAAAATTCTTACATGTTCAACATTGCGGTGTCAAATTTAATAGAATCTTCTAGATTATGCAAATATTCTCACGTTTGTGCCCGTTTTTCCCCATCCGACCTCAATATTTTGAAACAAGATGATCGTAAGATACGTCTCTTAACTTGTAAATATCAAATTGTAGTACATAAAAAATTGCATTTCATGAAATCTAAAAGATTCGGTTGAATTTAACACCTTAACGGTTGACACATAAAAAAAAATCATAGTTGAGGGGGATAATTGTAATTACCATGAGGGATTGTTTTTGTAATTTGACCTTACCTCAGGGAGTTGCCGTAATTTGCCCTATATAAATATTTATAAATTTTAATTAAATAACATATACTAAAAAAATAAAATGTCCATAAACTCAAAATGACTGTGGATCTTTAGACTTAGCAAATATGACAGATACAATCGAAATCAATAGTCTCTTAACCTTATATTTACATAATTAGTGTTCGTTGATGCAATGTCGAATTTGTAAAGCATTAGTATGCGGACCAAGAACATCGTAAAATCCACTCAAAACAGCATAATTTCAGATGCATCCCTCAAGGGCCAATCTGCAATTAATCATTTGTGTCTCTTAAAGGATCTTACACAAGTAGAACACAAAATTATATGAAATAAAATATAACAAAAATCGTAAACAACAAAAAATTCTTCAGTACCTTAGCCAAGTTCGTTTCTTGGGATAGTCTTCTCTTCGAATAATCAGCATTTAACTCGCCATCTTATTTCGCTTGTTCCAAAGGGGTGTTAGTATCAATGGAAAAGCCTATTTTTTCCATGATCTCGTCTAACCGCTGAACATTTGTAAGATACAAATAACCGACCTATAACAGCACCAGATACATAATTAAACTTAGGTCACAGCAGATACTAACTTATGCGTCGTCAGAACTTGCATCATTCTCTTAATTTAGAATGATAATGATTTAAGAATTCATTAAATTTAGGTGGTGGAAGAAATTTACAAGTGTCTCGAGGGAAGATGCTCTGTTGTAAACTGCCGAACCTGCTCGTTTCTTTGTTCTTGTTTTGGAGGAACCGATATTCTTCCCCCAACGCAGCACATCCCTGTTCACGAGATGATATATCATTTAGAAAATTTAATAATATTCTGCCTACAAATTGTATAGGACCTAAATTCTTGCTTTGAGAGGGATACTTCAAAAATTAAGCACACTACCAAAAAAAACTGGGGGATTGGTGTTGGGTGGGGGGTGGTTGGTTTCAAACGAATTACAAACCTTTCCTCTGGGGATAAGAAGTTGTCGCTCATAAGTATTTTCAGCATTGCATCCTGAAATGTGGCAAGCAGTTGAGTACAAGTTCATTTTCTATTGTATATTAGAAAATTCGGATGAAAAACATAAGCTATGTAAGTGTGTACTTTAGACTGCACATTTGTCCAATTTGAATGCTTATATCGTACTCAAAAGACAATGTAAAGGGCAATGTTTTGCTACACAGTAATTTGATTTAATTAACACTCTAATATAGGGAAATGACTTTAAATGATAATGAAAAATAAAATTTAGCATTAAAAAAAATATTTCAACTAAGTCGCTGTTCACAATTGATCCAATTTTTAGAGAAGCTGATAAGAAAATCCAACTTTTTTATTGAAAATCCTACCTCATTAACAATAAATTAACCGTAACAAACTCTAAAGTGTGAAGACATATAGCTATAGAATGTAAGTGAATCCATCACAAAGAGAAATAAACTGTAATACCTGGGCCTCACAACGTACAACAGCCATCACACGGTCGTTGTATTCTTCAATTTTCAGTTGAGGAAACAAAAAGTGCCTGCGAGCATACAGCTGTGCCCAAATAATGAGGCAGCATAAAACAGAATAGTCAGATCAAAATTTCAATAAGAAGGTATCAATCAAATAAATTACAAGATACAAAACAGTAAGATGCTCTTTTTTTTTTTTTTTGCATTATTTAGTAACTTCGTACTTTCACAAATTTGAAGTACTGAGATACATAAAGCTCTGTGCAACAACTTCTGATAAATTTAGTTCAATGTGGTAGCATATGCCGTGATGTTGTATGCTGTAATCGAGTTACCATAAAATTGATATAGGGAAACTTCCCTTCGTTCGTTTCACTACATAAATAAAAAGTCTCATTTGTTTCTAATTTCTCGCGAATAGTTAAGTGCAATGCATCCAAAGCTTCCTATAAGCTGCTTTTACTAATTTCGCTCTCGCTTATATCACTATATTTTTTTTTGCAAGGAACTGTAAGCATACAAACCTCAATCTATTAACAGTACAACACCTATTAACCATAATCCCAAATTCAATGTACGTCACAATATTCGAAAACATAATACTGAACTCACACTACAAAACTTTTATGTAGCTATAAACTAAACGCGAAGCTAATTCTACTATTGTCAAAGATTACGCAAATATCCAGTTTACGTAATCTGGTATAATCAATTTGAGAACATATTGGAGAATTAGAAAGGCACCTCATAAATGCAATCACCAATGTAAGCAAGTGATGCAGGATTGAACACGGAGCGAGGCTTCTCCACTTTGGGTGGGGTCGGTAGCCACGTGTCGTACCCTAAATACGAACCGCCTATTTCATCTGCATCAACACCAACAAACTCAATACTCGATAAACACTGCTAAGAAACTTTTTTCCCCAAATTCGAAACAACAATTAATTTACCTAATTAAAAAAAATCGGCACACGAACTTCGAACTCAAATTAATCAATCATCGTGAAATAACAACACCACTACCACAAGATGAAGAAATTCACGCAGAAATAACAGCACGGGCTAAATTTATGGAAGAGATTGATACCTCGGGCAGGTTTTGAAATGTCGCGTTTAAGGAGGTCTGGAATGGAGATTTTGACGGCGTGTTTGTCGGTTGTTGTGGCTAAGGTGGATGGTGGAGCCAAACTCAAGGCGTCTGGCTTTTTCGGATACGTGCGCTGTGGATTGTACGGAGCCCGCTGTTCGATGTCCACTGAAGAAGCTCTGACGGCGGAGTAGAGTGAGAGTATTGGAAGCGACGCCGACATTGGGTTCCGCCGGAGATTTTATCTTTTACACTTTGCTGTGGGTGAGCTTTCCAATTGCTGGGGTTTCTGCGTTTTTGGGTTTTGGTGAAATCGTGCTCTGCTTTAGGATGTAACGAGCCGAGCCGAGCCGGCTCGTGGGTTTTTTTTTTTATTTTAATATTTCATTTTTTGTTTTTTCTATTTTAATTTTTTTTAAATATAACAATAATTTTTTTTAACATTAATATTTTACGATTTACACAATTTTTTAATCTTGTATATATTTATAATAACGAAATATTTTTTTAGAATTTATCATGTTCGTGAGTATCAAACCAATTAAAATCACCCTAAGGCACGTAATTCACTACTTGCTTTGACGATTTTAATTGTTTTGACTAACATAAACCCGTTTTTATTATGATAAATAATTTTTAAAATGTCTATTTCATTACCATTACAAGACTCAAAACCCGGATAAGTTGCATATTTTAATGGTTAAGAAGATGATTTTCGTGTTTAAAGCTATTGTTTGGTGAATTACGTGCGTTGGACGATTTAAATTGCTTCGACTATAATAAACTCGTTTTAATTTTGACCAATAAATTTTAAAATTTTTATTTCATTACCATAAATATATACAAGACTCAAACCCCGGTTTTCACGCCGGTGGTCACCATTGTCGGCGGCGATACCAAATGAACAGCGGCCGAGGAAGTTGGAACGAAGAGTTTCTGGTTGGTTGGGGCGACGTTTTTCCTTTTGGGGTTTAATCTGTAAATATTTGATTTGCCCGTTTCTTAATGGGCTTATTCGGTAATAAGAATTATCACGCAATAAGCCAAAATAGATAACTAGGGAAGATATTGGGGCGGGCCATGTTTGGTTGCTTCCAGTTTCTTACTTTTGAGGTGACCATATATTACAGTCCAAAAAAAACATGCGATTAAATATTATTGAACAACTAGTTCTTCACCCGTGCGTTGCACGGAGGTCAGTTTTAAAATGAGAAAAATAATAATATGTAAACGACTATCTCTTTATAACAACACCAATTCAAGTAAAACAAAATGGAAGGAAATAAAAAATTCATAAACTTTATCTCTTAATTCAGAGTTTTAACATATGAAATTAAATTAAATATTACAACGAAGACAACGTGAAGCGCGCAAACACGATATGAAGATTAAGTGAAATCACTTAAAACATATGGTATAACTCTATTTTGAGGTGAATGCAACCTACTACACAGTGTCAATCTTTTGCAAAATAACTAACTTAACAACAAACACGGTAGCAGAGAAGTAACACAATAAATATTCAAATAACCTGTAAGTTTATTACTAACCGCGTTTAATTAGTGATGCACATTACTCAAACAACAATACAACTTATAAATATTGCAAAAGAGATAAGATGTATATGCCTTTATTGATACCAATGCTGATATCAATACCGATACCAATATGGATACCAATATTGATATTGCCGTGTATCTGAAG